ATTACAATTGTGTAACAAATGTGACCCAAGAATACATACCTTGAATGCAATCCATTCGCTCTCCAATTCCTGGAGGGGAACGGCGCTCACCGACACTATTAAGGCTAAGGCTATGAAGACTTTCATTATTGACAGTCAATACCTATCAACTTGTTTTGGAACTGGAGGTTTGTGTCGCTGTTTATATACCAAGCACATCATGGTGATAATTCAGTGAATTGGTCTAATTTTAATCTTAAATTATGTTAATTTAAATAATAAATGATAATAGTACCATTTAATCTTGATAATATAGTCATATGTTTTTCTAATTCTGTGTAAATTCTTCAAATATTATCTTTAGTATATTATGTGAGAAATTTATACGAATGGATCGTTTCTATTGTAGAGTAAGAATATAAAACCTTGATAACTAATATATTGATTATATATAAACCAATACACAAATGCTTTTGCAGTTATCATGTTTTGAATTTTTACTCAAAAAAGTGAAACGATTTATTGGAATACATTTACCACGTGTGCTCAACTTTAAATTATCACAATCATATTGACACATAATGTTACCTGGTTAATCATAAATCATTGCGGGAGCGTACTTTCTATAGCACATTCAATCTGGGTAATCTTTTGTCTGTAGTATACGTTTATAACTATTATTATATAACTATTATTATATAACTATTATTATATAACTATTATTATATAACTATTATTATATAACTATTATTATATAACTATTATTATATAACTATTATTATTAATGATTACAAATCTGATTCTGTAGTGCAATTGAGTTCTTTTATTGTATGTCATGTGATTTCATAGACCAGTTCAGTTGGTATGTAATATGATAAGTATTTTAGTGGAAGAAATTTCAAATAAATGGCAAAAATATTACCGCAATTTTAAAAAAGATTGATTATGAGTATAGATAACAAGTTTATAAATTAATTCTATAGTTTGTTATCTATACTCATAATCAGTCTTTTAACTTCCCGACAATATCTCTTTATTTATTTTAAATTTCATCCACTGATATAAGTAATTTGGTAGTTGTATTACATCCAGGGACTGTCACCAACCGTTGGTTCCAACGCTGAATCACACAAAAAACAGATTAGCCAAAACATGATTTTTACATTTTAAACGTGTAAATTTAAAACATAATTTGTAGCCCCCTTTACGCCTCCTTAAACCCAAATAAAATGTCTTATATCTGCTCTTATGCTTAAGATAGGATAAAATACCAATAAAATTATATCATCGATTAAAATTGTTCATGTTACTGCTCAAAGTTGATATAATGGCAATATATTTTCTAGAAGGGTTATAGTATCCATTTCTCATATTAACAATATCGGTAACCCAAAACTCTTGAAATAATCGAGGTCACTTTATAAAAATCAATCACATATGTATTTTCAATGGGTGATGTGTTTGAGAAATAGACTTACATACTGTACACTGGGGTGCTATTTAAACTTATATAAATCAAAAAACTAATATTTATTTATAGATTTTCAGTTATGAGCTATGTAAAAACTAAACATCGATACATGGAACTACTCTGGATAATCAGCTTAGGCTTAAAATTACTAGACCAAGAGATGTCGCAGAACTAGTTTTAAATTTACATTCTTAAAATTGTAAAAAACATGTTTTGCCTAATCTGTTTTTTGTGTGATTCAGCAATGGAACCAACGGTGGTTGACAGTCCCTGGATGTAATGTACTTTACTCTAGTAATTAATCTCAATTTTAATAAAAATTTATGTTTAACACTTAATCTTGATAAAAAGTTCTTTTGTCCTAGCACTAATATTTTGACTATAATATTGGAAGTTTAGTTTGTATAATATTTCTACATTAGTCTTTGGGATATTAAAAAATTTTGGTTTTATTAATTTTATTCCCTTAAAATAACAAATAGTTAACATTTAGGCTAAAATGTAGTGTTGTACAGTAGTATCATTAAATGTAACACAAATATCCATACAGAGAGAGAGAGAGAGAATCTAACAATTCATAGTATTCTCAAGGAAGTGGATATGGATCTTGGATATGAAAATGTAAACTTATACTCAAAATGCTTACATAAAAAAGAAAATTATAAAAATAGTTATAAATGTTGGAAGGGGGGTTGGGTGACGTGTGGCAGGTGTGTATTTGACATGTAATTAATATGTGTAATAAGTATAAACAATAATATCTTTCACTATGAATATAAGGTTCATAGAATTTAATCATTGATATTTTATAATAGAACTACACTATAGTTTAGTTTAATTAATTGTTCAATAGATTTAATAACTGAATCACATAGCTGAATTAAAAGTAATCATACAAATCTAAATTAATATTTACAAAAATGATAAACTTATTATTATTATTATTATTAATAGCCGACCCTCTGACGGGTGTACCCGATATTCTGTGGGGATAGGGGACTATATTTTCGTTAGTCTGCCGACATAATGATCTACCTGTGCGATTGCTATATAATTATTTTGTTTTTAATATCTTGCTTACTAGTAATATACACTTTAATTGGAAATTGTTAAAATTAAAATTAATAGAATATTTTAGCCACAAATATCAATCACAATTAAGGGAATTTTTATTTTATTTTTTGCGTATTTTTTACATTTTATTTTTAATTATTATACATATTATACAGAATCACATTTAGTGAACACCGGTCGGGTAGACAGCATAAGTGGCAACACCGCACTGGTTGTTATGGTTTCGGGCCATTTTGATGTAACCCTGGATTCCAAAGGTGGTGCCCCAAGAATTCTTAACCAGCCAGTAGTCCTGTCCACCCTCTGAGCCATAGCCCACAGCGGACACTCCGTGGTCGAGTTTGGTTGAGCTACATTGGGGCTCCACATACACACCCGACTTGTAGTGCTGGAAGCTCTGGTGTCCGGCATCGATGGCAATGGCTACCGGTCCCACACTTCCCACGGCGTTCTGGAGGGCAGCCTCCTGACCGGTCTGCATGGTGTGAACGCCGGTCACCGATACGGCCTTTTTGCTCTTGGTGAACTGGCAGGTGGCCATACGGGCGTGGTATGGGTAGTCCGACTCCTTTTCAATGCCACCCTCTTTGATGACCAGCTGAATGGCA